TGCTTTTGAACTGTGGTGTTGGAGAAGACTCTTGAGAGTCCCTTGGACTGCAAGGAGATCCAACCAGTCCATCCTAAAGGAGATCAGTCCTGGGTGTTCATTGGAAGGACTGATGTTGAAGCTGAAACTCCAATACTCTGGCCACCTGACGCAAAGAGCTGACTCATTTGAAAGACCCTGATGATGGGAAAGATTGAGGGCAGGAGGATAAGGGGACGACAGAGGATGAGATGGTTGGATGGCATCACCAACTCAATGGACATGAGTTTGAGTAAACTCCGGCAGTTGGTGATGAACAGGGAGGCCTGGCGTGCTGCGATTCACGGTGTTGCAGAGTCAGACACGACTGAGGGACTAAAATGAACTGAACTGAACTGAGTGACTGACACTAGCACTTCTATGTATAAGATGTGTAACTTACACATTAGAGGGAAGAAGAAAAATCATACCTGAGAGCAGTCAAGTTCTAGTTATGTTCTGGGACACAACACATTTTCTATCAATGTGAAAAGTCAGTCGTGCTGGGTACAATCAGGGAAGGAAGCTAATAAACTGCACAGTGAGCTGTGATGACTAGTTAATCTGTTTGGCGTGTTTACTCTTTAATTCAAGCTGACAGGGTAGCCTCATCTTCATGCTGGGCTTATCTCAGCTCTCTAGGGCTTTTGAGAGCTCCAAAGGCCATGATTCCTGAATTCATCTTCTTAATTTAAAATTTCTCACCCTTAGAATTACACTAAATGCCTGATTTTCATGGAATAAATGGAAACACTCCAAATAGCTTCCACACAGCAAACACCTGTTTTGAGTGCATATTCTATTTCCAGTATACTCCACACAAATTAATAATTAAACTTTTTTTTGCCTCTAGGCAAGAAAAGATTGCACTTGAAATAATGTATACTAATGCACATATATGGAATTTAGAGAGATGGTACAGATGAGCCTATTTGCAGGTCAGGAGTAGAGAAGCAGAAGTAGAGAATGGAAATGTGGACATGGGGTGGGGAGAACGAGATGAATGGAGAGAACAGCATTGACATATATACACTGCCATATGTTAAATAGACAATGAGTGGGAAGCAGCTATATAGCACAGGGAGCTCAGCTGGATGCTCTGTGATGACCGAGAGGGGTGGGGTGGGGGGCAGGTGGTGGAGGGAGGTTTAAGAAGGAGGAGATATATGCATACATATAGCTGATTCAGTTCATTGTATGGCATTAACTAATACAACATTGTAAAGCAGTTACACTCCAATTTAAAAAGTATTGTGTTTGTAAGACACTAAGAATCAGTTTCTTTGATCTCATGAAAAAAAAGAAGAAAAAGTAAAACCAGGTTTAGGAAAATAGGATTGGGCTGCAGGCTTCCAGTGGGTGTATTCAGGACATCTGAGGGCAAAATCTGCTTAGATGCCCAGGTTGGTGGTTTCATTCAGAACTGATGACTGGGCATGGCGGTTCATTCTGGTAGCCATGCCCAGAACTATAGATTCCCAGGTTTCTCCACTTGCCCCATCTACCCCTTTCACTCAGCTAACTGCTATTTATCCTTTAAAAGTCTTCATTAGTATTAGTGAGGGGACCATTTTTCACTTTATGTACTTGAAATGTTTTAACTGTTTTTTTTTTTCAGTGAGCATGTATTACCTTTATAGTTAAGACAACAAGAAAAAAAAAATGGAAAAAATACAAAAACTGCACCAAGTAAACCAAATCTCCCCTAAACCTACTGCTTCCTGTCTCCTCCCCTAGAAGGTAAAGTTCTGATCATTTTCAAATCCTCTTGCCCCAGTCCATATTTATTCATGCTCTTCTATCTGTGAATTTATATAGACCTACCATCACTTACTTTTAGCCTAGGTCTTATACTCTGCAGTAATACATGAATACTTACTGTTGTTCTCACTAGACTATAAACTCAGCAAGAGCAGGATGTATAAAAATTGTCTAGATTCCCACCATCTCCTCCAGTACCCAGCACAGCATAGGTGCTCAGGATCTGTTCTTGAATGAGGAATGGAAGTAAAAGGAAGATGGTAGTTTTAGGAGGAAAGGAAGGCGACTGTGATTGCAGAGCCTTGGGCACCGGCATCCTGGCTCCTGTATCCGTGATGCACCAGGGAGACCTTGGCACAGCTGCTGGCCACGGTGGCGCCCTTGCCTCTGCTGGGAGGCTGGGCTGCAGGAGGTGAGTGAGCCCGACTGCCCTTCCTTTCCTGTACCTGGGTGCAGTACTGCTTTTCCAGCCTCTGGCTCTCCTTCTGTTTCTGGCAGGTGAGCGACACCACGGACACAATGGTGCCATTGTAGTTCTCCTGGGGAGACGCCCAGGACATCAAGGCGGTGGTTGCGCTCAGGACGTGGACACTCACGTGCTGGGGCTTCTCCGTGAGTTCCTCAATCCATTCTCCTGAAGGACCTGGATCAAACCAGAGCACAAGGGAGGCTTCAGGCTCAGCGGGTTCAGATGGACCACAGCTTGAAAAATCATGCTGTTTTCCTTTTGCCCTTACAAAGACATTCCGAGTCAGACTGGCAAGTCTTCATGTCCTCTGCCTAGCTATGGTCTCCACTGGGTGACCTCCCCGTTGGCCTACGCAACAGCCTGGTGGCAGCAACGAAACCAATTCTACTGAGAGACAGAAGCCCCACTTTAATGTTTACATGCCTCTGAGACTATTCTGGTAACTTCTGCACCAGACAGAAGTTACTTAACAAAGAGCGTGTGTGGCAGTGTGGTTTCATGAGTGTTTGTGATTCCTTCGCTGTTAGGATCTTTGGGCTCTAGAAATAATTATGTTGAGATTCAAATTAGCCTCTACTGCAATCCTGTGAAGAAAATTTTAAATCTGGTGACAGCAGAATCAAAGCAGCAGAGTGTGACTCCCTTAGAGAAGAAATAGGCAACAGACAGGCTCAATTATAGAAGCTGGTGGAAACCTGGGTGATAATTTGAGGACATGGTGGGATCCTCATTATAAAATATCTCCCTAAAAGTGCCCGCCATTAGCTTTGTTCTTTTAAATTTCCAAAGTGGTTATTAGCACAGTGCCTGACATATAGTGAAGACCCAAGAAATGGTAAGGTGATTATTATCTCCTGAAAGTCCCTGTTAAAATGCAAATGTGCAACTTCTTTTATTTGCTTAGGATACATTTGTCAGTTCTCTCAATAAGAAGCTGTAGTCCTGGAGCCCAGGAAAAGGGGAGGAATAAGTGACTCTGCTGGGGAGGGCAGTCTCAAGCTCATGGGAAATGGGCAAAGAAAATAAAAATAATATAAATGATAATAATAATTACAATGGCAAAGAGATGTAGGACTCACTGTTTGCCAGGCTCTTTTAAGCTTATTTATGTTTACATATTTTAATTCTTTAATTTTCTTAACTAAACTTATAAGTACTGGATTGATTTCAGTTTCGGATAAGAAAACCAAGGCAGAGATAGGGTAAGTAGAGCTGGGATTCACACACAAGAAGTCTGGTTTCAAAAATCCATGCTCTTAATTCCTGTGTGAAACTTCCTGGAGCACTATGAAACTATCAGAAGGGTGAATCTAGAAACAGGAAATTTGGCGCCAAACTCAGTTTTGCTCATTATTAGTGATGTAACTTCGGGCAAATGACTTCTCTGAATCTCAGTCACTGCATCTTTCAAATGGACAAATCATAGAACGTGAGGACAGGAAAGGACTTTAGAGTTCCAGTGTGGGTTACTGATGGGGAAACCGGGGCCCAGAGATGTGAATGACCCGCCCAATGTCACAGAGTGAGTATTGAGAGACAACCTAGGGCTCCTATTTTCTGGGTTGGGGCTTTGTGTTAACATCTCAAGATGCCATCTGATTAGTCTACTTTATAAGATTGTTGCTGGGATCAAATGAGATTGCAATGTATTAGAAAACTATCTAAATGTGAAATGTTGTTACTTTTATGAAGATCTGAAGTGGGTGGGAGCAGGGAGCGAAGGTGGCTGGAGGCAAAACAAATTCACTCATTTAATGGCTTTATAATAGGATGGACCTGATAATCAACACAAGGTAATAGGTCACTGCAGACTCCATGAAAATGGACACGGTTACTAAAGATTTCTAGAGTCTGATTCTCCTTCTCACACTAAATGGCTAAACTTTCTGTGTCTAAGTATTTTTTTTTCCACCTAAAAATGGAGATAATAGGAATGTTCCCTTCATAAGGCTTTTGGGAGACTAATGTAAATTTCTACCTTAATTTTCATCTCTGAGGAAAGCCTTCAAAACTACATAAATACAGTATCCTTGTAAAATCAAAAGCATATACATAGTACACCTGAGTAACTCATTACTGCAGAACAGAATATCTGAAGCTCCAAACAGGTTGTTTTACTGGCAGAGAAATAGAAACATTTCTAGTACCTTATATTTTCCTAAATGAATATTAACATGCATCTCTTCAAAATAATCATATTTTTGAGCAATTCTGACATTCTCAGCAGCTCTGGTCAGTTTGGATACTCTAAGAATAGAGTGCCTATCACTGGAAAGTGATTCAATAAATATTTGTTGAATGTACAACAGAAATAATAAATAAGCAAAGAGTATAACCCAACTTAGGGTTTTATTATGTGGCATGAAAAGCAAGAGGTATGCAAATAAAATCCACCTAGAAAAATGTCACACTCAGAGATAAGCTCTGTACTGTAAAGAATCTGCCTGCAATGCAGGAGACCTGGGTTTGATCCCTGGGCCAGGAAGTTCCCCTGGAGAAGAGAACAGCTACTGACTTCAATATCCTTGCCTGGAGAAACTCATGGACAGAGGAGCCTGGTGGGCTACAGTCCATGAGGTCACAAAGAGATGGACACAATTGACTGACTAAGACTTTCACTTCATTATGAAACAGCAGAATTCAGAGGAGGAAAGAGCTAATGGCCTGAACAGTTGTAGAAGTTTTCCTGGAACTTGCAGTGGGTCTCTGCTGGCTGACAAGGGAATCTCTGGGTTAATGAAACATTTTTAGCCTCATGGGAAGAACTCAATACTAAACTTTGCTTTCATTCTCAAATGATGTCATGTCAAAGATCTCCTGTAACTGAAAGACATGCAGGGTGATCATGGATATTTTTTCTGCTTGTCTAGTGGATATTTCAAGCCTTTTCACCAGTGGTGACATTTTTGGTTTCTTAACAAAAATTGTTATACAGGGTATTTTCAACATTTTTAGGCTGCTAAATAAACTGATTTCTCTCCTCTGAGCTCCTCCTTTTTATCTCGCCTTTTTGAGGGTCATTTAATGAAAGGTGGTATTTTGCCTTTGGAGGAGGAGATAACATATGGCGATCATCCTTCTTGGAATGAAGTTTTTATCCATTGCCTTCTTTTTTTTTTTCTGCTGCTGATGAGAGGCACATTTAACTCCGGATAAGCTAGGAAACAGATTTTTGGCCTCTAAACTTGTGGTAAGAATAGTCAGATTAGCAGAAAACATTACCAACATACACTATTTGTGTAGCTTTTTGAGGCTAGTTATTGGCCTGCTATTATCCCTGATGGAATCAGTAGAAACTGCCCTAAGACTTGATCTTGTTATTTTCATAATGCTCTAGCTTCGCTGTTGTTGTTTAGTCATTAAGTTGAGTCTGATTTCTTGGGACCCCATGGGCTGTAGCTCACCAGGCTCCTCTGTCCCTGGGGTTTTCCAGGTAAGAATACTGGATTGGGTTGCCATTTCCTTCTCCAGGAGATCTTCCCGACCCAGGGATTGAACCTGGGTCTTCTGCATTGCAGGTGGATTCTTTACCATCTGAGCCACCAGGGAAGTCCCATGCTCTATCTTCGTTTGTGCTGATTTTTGGAGAGACCACCTAGGTCTTACTGCACTTGAATCTCTGTGCTTCTTTCAAGCTCCCCAAATTCAACACTCTAATGAGACTTTTCACACAGTTCAAAAATACCAGTTTTCATTATGGCTTCAAACAAAAGTCCTCTTTTCTAAACTATGTGCCCATGTCCTTGGAGAGTTTGTTATCACTAGTGCGAAAGGTCAATTTAACAAATGTTCAATTATCTCAATAATAAAAAAAAGTCCTCAAGTTAAATCCCTGGGTAGATTCGCTACTATGAAACATACATATATTTTCTCTGCTGTCAAAAATCACATGGATTTGGGCCTCTCATGACCTTGAAGAATTCTCAGGGTCTCTAAGGACTGATGAATAATTGATGCTTGAGCATCATTCATCTCACCGGCTCCATTGTTTTAGCTTCTCTGTAAATGCAAAATAATCTCTTTGGTACTTACTGATATAAAAACTGAGTGATTTTGCTGACTGACTCTTTCGAGTTTCACAAGATCCTGAGGAACTAAAGGTTGTCACAGATAACTTATATTTCCCGGGCTCCTTCAGTTCTGCAACAAATTCATGTGCTTCTTCATCCACTGTCAAATATTCAGTAAAGTTTTCTAAATCATGTATAAAGAAGAGAATATATATGAATTGATATCCAGAACAGCCTTGGCTATAGATAAGTCAACACTAGTGCGAAAGGTCAATTTAACAAATGTTCAATTATCTCAATAATAAAAAAAAGTCCTCAAGTTAAATCCCTGGGTAGATTCGCTACTATGAAACATACATATATTTTCTCTGCTGTCAAAAATCACATGGATTTGGGCCTCTCATGACCTTGAAGAATTCTCAGGGTCTCTAAGGATTGATGAATAATTGATGCTTGAGCATCATTCATCTCACCGGCTCCATTGTTTTAGCTTCTCTGTAAATGCAAAATAATCTCTTTGGTACTTACTGATATAAAAACTGAGTGATTTTGCTGACTGACTCTTTCGAGTTTCACAAGATCCTGAGGAACTAAAGGTTGTCACAGATAACTTATATTTCCCGGGCTCCTTCAGTTCTGCAACAAATTCATGTGCTTCTTCATCCACTGTCAAATATTCAGTAAAGTTTTCTAAATCATGTATAAAGAAGAGAATATATATGAATTGATATCCAGAACAGCCTTGGCTATAGATAAGTCAGTTAATTTTTTTAAAAAGTATTTTCTTATTTTGCCTCTTTCCTTGTGTCTAGTTGAATTGTACCTCCAAACTAAAATTGCTATTGAAAAAAGATGGCTAAGAGTTCAAATTGTTTTCTTACAGTATTTTAAGATAACTAAATTAAAATATGGTGTCCAAATCAATAAAAATATGGATATATATATACTGCATTCTTACATACTGTCAGCCAGTAAAATGATACACACAAAACACAACTATAATGTTAGGAGAAGGTAGCAATGATCAACTTTCTCATTTGGATATAAAGAATTAAAAGAAACAGTACCAAATGTTGTACAAGTTCTTTGTGATAACATTAAATATGCATAAGTGTCTTAAAATATATTGAATTATTTTCTAGTTAGAAATAACCCTCTGGGTATATTTTCTGACACATTATATTTTGATTCATTGGCTGACTTCCAGAAATTTTAAAAGTAAAAATGATTTTTACATTGCTTCAAAGTCTATCTCCTGCTGCTTATTGCTTCATTTGAAGTTTTTTTCTTATCATTTGGCTACCAGAGTCGCCTTCAACAGAACACACTGCAGTCAGATAAAAGCATGACTGAACTTTCATGGAAATAGGCACTACAAAATACTCTAAGACCCTATTTTCCACAGACTATATCGAGGAACAGAAAAATAAAAGACTAAAGGAACTTTTTAAAAATATAGGCAATTTCAGGCAGATGTTAAGATTTTTGACTCCAATAATTGTAAATGACAAAGGATTTCAATTTTATATAATATTTGTGTATTGTTGGTTGCTCTATACTCCAATATAGAGGAATTCACAAATCTTGTATTTCATTCTATTGGATAAAATAGGGGCAAACAATATGTCATCTATGAGACTATATGATTTGAATACCCTAGCATGTAAGTAAAGCTGTCAATTTACCTCAAATTTCTGACAACTTGACAGCCTTTGCCACTCAAACTACTAGACTGGAGAGCAAAAAATGAAGTATGTCATTATAAAAACAAAATAAACAACAATTTCTAAATAAACAACGAATATCTACCAAACAACAATTCAGATATGATTCATGATCCAAATTTACTGAATGCCATGGCCCTGTTTTTCATAAAGTAATGGGTTAAATATAAAGAATGTCTCTTGGATGCTAAGTGAATACAATATATATGATATAGTAGCTGGAGTGGGAATACCAGTTGCTGTGTATTTTTATTCTACTACCATCTTCTCTTTGGAAAAATGTGAGTTGTGCTGGTTCCAGGGGAGCACCCCCTGAAGGGAAATAAGACTAGCCTGATAAGCAGAACACAGGTCTGATACTCTAGGGAAAGAAGTCATGTTGTCAGTAAGATTCTTTTGCTGCATGCTTCACAAATTTGTGTACCTGGAAAACAGAACACGTCTCCAGGATATTCTGTAATTTGTGATGGTTAGAAATTTAATTCAAAATCTTTTCAAAGTTTCCTCAGTGGCCTGGGGGAGGTGAAGTGTCAGCAATAAAATGTGTACAGTTGTCCATACTTGCGATGTGTGAACTACCCAAACTGGGTTCTGACCCAATCTGTTCATTTTCGTTTTCTGGTTTCAGTCTGCCTTGGGATATTCAATAAATGCTTCATTTTCTTTACCATTTTTCTTATATCTTAACTGTCTGCCTTCAGTCTTTCTTTCTAAATGTAATTTTTCAAAGTTCCCGTTTCCTTTACCTTTGCACCATTTCTTATGTCCTCTGATTTCCCAGTACTTTACCTTCTCTTTCTTTCTTTTTAATTTTTTTTTAATTAAAAAAAAATTTTTTTTTTTTTTACCTTCTCTTTCTATGTGGATATGGAACCCATCAAAGGCAGTGGGTGGTTTTGGTGGTAACCAACTCAATATCATTTGTACAGGGAAAGAAGAGAAGGAGCTGGATGCCGATTTCTCCGTCTCACTGAGTGTATTGTTATTTTCGTATTCTGTGGGAAGCACACTGACAAATTCATCTTCACTTTCAGGAGTCGCAGATGCGCTGTCCCACCAATATGGCTGGGATGTTGTTTTGAAATCACTGCTGTTAAAGTCAGGCCAACCAGAGGAAATGTTGCCAGAGGGAATTTCAGGAGTGTCCTCTGTAAAATGGAAGACTCTGTCCTTTCCCATTGTATCTTGTGATCTTATGAACGATTCCTCTGGGAAACTGCCACTCTCTTCTTCCCAGTTGTTTTTGTTCAAGTTCACTATACGAACTGAGATATTCCGAGGTGGATAAGGGGCTGTAAGAAAGAGAATTATCGTTTTATGTATTTTTTAACTATTATAATGAATACTTTATTAATGATTCAAACAAAAAAGCAGATTCAGAAAACAGAGTTTAACTGTACTTTTACATCAAGAACAAGTGTCGTTTCCAGACTTCCCTGGTGGTTCAGATGGTAAAAGTGTCTGCCTACAATGCAGGAGAACTGGGTTCAATCCCTGGGTTGGGAAGATCGCCTGGTGAAGGAAAAGGCAACCCACTCCAGCATTCTTGCCTGGAAAATTCCATGGACAGAGGAGCCTGGTAGGCTACAGTCCATGGGGTCGCAAAGAGTCGGACATGACTGAGCGACTTCACTTTCTTTCACTTTCACTTCTTGCATCAATAACAAGTGTCGTTTCAAGTACATGTCTATCTAAGATTTTGTACATGATGCGCATACATTATCGTATCATCAGTCACACTTCAAATACATTAAGTAGTGGTACTGTGTTAGTCAAAGTGGTGACTGAACCACTTCCAAAGTAGAGTTACATTCATATTTTTCAGCTTATCACAATCTCTTTTTGAAAAAGCCAAGTCTCTGTCACTAGATCTTTTTTACAAAAAAGGAACTATAGTGTTTTATAGCTATCAGGACTAAAAATACTCTCTATGACATAGTTGCACTTAGGAGAGTTGCGTGTCGAAATTACCTTTAGAAACTTTAACACACGTTGCAAATATGGCTTCACTTCTAACCTCTCAAAATGAAAACTATGCCCACAAAATAAGTTTATGAATTATGGAAGTATACTTTTCTAGTGGTAGAAAATTATGAAGGCCACTGCATGGTCTCTACCTGCAACAAATTCTACATATCTTTCGAATAGCACCTCAACACTCACCTCTTAGGGGATTTTAATAAAAATTAATCTTTCGCTCTTTCATGCTGCTATATAACTTTGTGTGCACACGCTCAGTCACTTCAGCCGTGTCCAACTCTTTAATAATATTTATTGCATTCTGCCTTGTATGATTCAATAGCTGTTTAGTTGCTAAGTCGTGTCCAACTCTTTATGACCCTATGGATGTAGCCCATCAGACTCCTCTGTTCATGGCATTTCCCAGACAAGAATACTGGAGTGGGTTGCCGTTTCCTCCTCCAGGGGATATTCCTGACCCAGGGGTTGAACCCATGTCTCCTGCACTGGCAGGCGGATTCCTTACCACTGAGCCTCTAGGGAAGCCCATGAGTGCCAATAGCACCTCTACCATTTTTGAGGCCAGGAAACCATTTTAGCGGACTTTGTCTTCATCTCTCCCTGTACTTTAAAAATCTCCCAGGTAAAGATGCTCAACTAGTTCCTTTACTTGAATAATGAAAACTACAAGTAGAATCTTAGGTGTTGACATGAGGTGAATAAAATATTAATATTTAGCTGAAATAATTTCTTTGTTTTGACCTAAATAATGAGAATCATGACATCTTAGAATTTCAGATTGGCAGGGTCTGTTGGTGATCTATTACAATCCATTCCCAATATTTGTATGAATTGTGTCTCCTCATGCTTATCAAATACTTAAGCATGTTTGGGGTGAAAAATGTCAGTTATATTGGTATTGGTGATGGGCATTTAGCATGTGTGTATTTATTTTACCCATCCATTCTTTCACCTTCCTACCCATCTATCTATCCATCCATCCATTCATTCATCTATTCATCCTGTGATTGTGCTTCATATTAGTGATGATACTAAAGTTAAGCACTGCCAAGTTTTAGGTGTATCTGAATCCCAATATTTTCTTTTAACAATCAGATAATCTATACTAGAACTTCTCACATCTGTTCTTCTGCCATATGGTTATTATGTCATATTGTAGATTTACTGATGTCTACTTGATTCAGTTAAATTACTTATAACTTTTGGTAATATCACATGGTTTTTTATTCAAAGATTAAAAATCTGTGATTTCATTGACATATTTAACTTTTTTATTGAATATTTTGCTCAGTTCATTTTACATTGATAGAAAATTCATTTTAGATTATTGAAATATGTATTTTTTTCTGAGTTCTGGAACAGAAAATTTTCCTTAGAATGACAGAAAGCATACATATAACAAAAACACATAATTTAATTATTTTTTCACTAAATTTGATTTTTCAAACAACTTACCAGTTCTATGCTGTTTGGGCTCATGACTGACACCGCTGTACTCCACGAGAGTGCTTTTATTAAAAGTTGCCTCGGATACCAGCTGAAAGGTGATATTACTATAGCATATTCCTGGCAGCCAGTGATTAAACACTGTTTTTCCCTTAAAAAAATCTGAGAATAAAAGCAATTATATTAAATTTTTGGTTTTCTAAATGCCACACACTTCTAGAAATTTCTGAACAATTATGACTATCTGTCAAATAATATTTCCTGTGACTTCTAGTATAGTCAGTAATAAAAAATTGATTTAAGGCTAGAGATTTGAAAATTGAAATTTTTAGACTCAAAGGCTTTTTCTGCAAGAATTAGATACAATTGGAATTAAAATTTTTATAGGAACATCTGGTGTATTAAGTGGAAACGGTAACATAGAAATTGAAGAGATTAGGTTTATGCTAATCATTTACTGTAAGATAAGAACCCAAGGTATTTTGCCAATTTATGACTTAGGAAAAAATGATTTTACAAGAAATGTTTTCACTAGACTTACTTGTAGAATATAGCCTATTTTTTAAAAGAAAATGATTTATCATTTGGCAAATGGGACCTTCCTGAAAAAAGAAGAAAATTTAAAAGCTGAATTTTATTTAGAAAATGGTTTTTTTTTGGAAGATAATAATAAACTTAAAATCCCAATCCAAGTTGGAAAGAAATGAGGAGGAGGAACTAAAAATACCACTTATTGAATGAAAAGCCAAAAATAATTTGAAAAATTAATTAACTTAAAAAAGAGAGCATACTAGTTAACATTTTTAAACTCACGGAATTTAGCTCAATAAAAGTGTCAGTGATGCTTTTCAGTTATTTATAAACGTATATTTGCATGTGATCAATAAGCAAACAAGGTCTCAATTATTAATTTTCAGATAATCTGTTTTCATTGAAATCAAAGAATGCAGTTATAGAGTCTATTTTTGTTTATTTGATTTTTTTTTTAAAGTTTTAAGAAAAACCTGTAGAGTTACTGCTTGTGCCTTAAACACTGTCTCATTAAAAAAAAAAAAAATCCATGGAAGATTCAGAAGTTTATAAAAGAAGCAAGTCAAAGTGGGATGTTTCTGGGTATCATGCCTTAGGTGCTTGAGTAAGTATCTTCTACCTGGTTTTCATTTATAACTAATCAACTTTGAGACCAGCAGCTATACTCAGTGCAGATAAATGTAGTGGTTTTGTGTCCTGAGAATATTTGTCTCTCCAGTTCAGCTCCCAAAACTGAATGTCCTCTGTCCGCTCCCTGTCTCTCTCCCACCTGGCCCGCTTCTGCCCTCTAGTCTATTCAGAGAAATTGATTTGGTTTCTTTAGAAATTTTTAATTCCCCTGGACCCTCTTCTCTCTCTCTCTGACCACAAGATCCCCATCAAGCCAGTAAAAATAGTGAAACTTATTTCTGTATATTAATGCAATCATTTAACTAGTCATACAGATAAATATACACAAAGGAACTGAAAAGAATTGTCTTTAACATTCGAGAATAATGTTGAACCATCTTCAAATGAAACTTTTTGAAAGACCCCTGTCTAACTTCCCAGGTCTGGAAATGCCCTAATGCACTCAGAAGGAAATGATTAGGTGCTGTGCTTCTAAATTTAAATTTAAATTTGTTTCCTGCACCAGACATGCAGGAATAATATTTAGCAAGAAGAACATGTAAGTCATAATAATTTAAGTTTTTCTTATGTTTGTGCATGACACATGACTCTAAAATAATGAACCAAACATTCTAAGTCTCATAACAATATTTTTATACATCAGTAACTATTTTTATTGGTTCATTATGATCAAACAGTGAATTATAAGACTTCTTCAGAGCAAGAGCAAGACCATTTGACAGAAATCATGTAAAATGTAAGAGTCATCATTTTTCATCTTTCTGTTGCCTCTTACCTTTATATAGCATTGTCCGGAAGTCTTTACCTTCCCAGTAGCTTATGTTTACTCTTGTGAAAACGTTATATTTTTCTGGATAATGAATTTCAAAGAGGACTCCTGTTTCAGGAGAAGGTTTATAGTCATATATTGAAACACTGGTTACAGGAAGAGGTTCTGCAGTAGGAAAGTTAATGGAGAAAGGGGAATTGGGAAAAGAGCAAAATACCATTATTAATACTTGGAAGTGCCAAGGATGACACCTATTAGCATTTTACACATACTTTAATTATCTGTAAGCCACTAAATTCCTCAGTACTCCTGAGCTGACTGTTCTCCTTAGCAGTAATTAATAAAGCATATTTTATGTGGTGATTTCTGCTTTTCAAAGAATTTTCATATTCATTTTTCCAATTGCCTTTAGCAACAACCCTAAGATCTAGGAAGAGCAAATATTCCTATCACCATTCAACATATAAAAATAATGATAACTGAGACTTTAAATTACTTGTCAAAGGTAATTTAACAAGGGCATGGCAGAGTCTGTATCTACAGATTCCTAGTTCATTTTTCCCCCAAGTCAAGAAAATTTGATATTAATAACAGACAAGTAACAGAAAATAGGCTTCCTGGGAGGTAGGTGCAGTGATAAAGAATCTGTCTGCCAATGCAGGAGATGCAAGGGACTTGGGTTGGATTCCTGGGTGGCATGAATGTTTTAATAATCAGTTATTTCTTCATATGAGCTTAGCACTTTTTAAATAGTAAGTATAAGATTGCAAACCATCCTATATTATGAGAATTATAGTTCATGATGTTTATCACCCTTTCTACAGAAGTTTAAAAATGTTTACTTTTATTTTGTATGAGTTGTTAACTCATCACAAAACTTTGTAAATAAATACTCATTTTTTAAATAACCGATTGGTTGATTTACATCTGAATTTCCTCCATTCCCACTTTTCAGCCCAAGTCTTGTACAGTGCCAGAGTCCCTTCATTCTTCAGTAGGGACTACTGAATGAGTCTTACTAGCATGCATTTCATTCAAGAAAATATTTAAAATAATTTGGCATGGAGTCAACTCTTTATTGGCTTCCCTGATGGCTCAGTGGGTAAAGAATCCACCTGCAAAGCAGGAGGCACGTGGGTCACGGGTTCAACCCCTGAATGGGGAAGATGGCAACCCACTCCAGTATTCTCACCTAAAAAATCCAATCGACTGAGGAGCCTGGCAGGCTACAGTCTGTGGGGTTGCAAAGAGTCAGATACTACTGGGCAACAAAACACGAATCAACTCTTATAGAAAAAACTGATTTTGATTCAAAGTTTTAGCATCGAGAGGATTCTTGGACATCTATAGCCTAAAAGAAATAGACTTAGTTTACGTTTTACACTTTGAAATTTCAATTTCAATAACATAAGAAACCAAAATTTGACTTAGTTCATTCAACAATTACCTACTTTGTCTCAATCTGTAGCTAAATATCTTTTTTTGTTGTTTTTAAAAATCTAAATTTATATTTATTCTAAATGTTTCTATTTTATTTTTGCCAATTTTTGTTTCATCATTGCTTAATCTTTTTAAATAAGTATAATTCTTTCATCTATCATTTTATAGATGATAGCAGACTACAGATTTTTGTTATGTTGCTACATAAAACATAGTCCAAAATGTGATAATTTTGGTGTCTGTCTTCTTTAGCATAGATTTCTTTTGTTTGTTCTAAACCATACGCCCTCGGCCAAATTTTGCTTCCTCATTGTCCCATTTCTTGCTTTTTCTTCACTGTTTTGAGGCAGTTTAGCATCCTTTCAGCTCACCAGGAGCGGTAGTTTAGTTAGTTCAGCGATATAACATCACTTTGGGGTTCTTGATATTATGGATGATATAGCTGTTTTCACAAACTCGTTCTCTAAGAGGGTAACTAAGTGTGGTACTTGATAGTAAGACTATGTGGCTCTTGCATCCTTAGGACTCCACATGTGCCTTTGGCAAGCAGGAAGAATCTTTGCTTTCAACAATGAGCCTGGCTCTGGGTCATATCTAATGTGTAAAAATTCAATCCTTCCTACTCTCTGGTGACCCAGACTCAGTACTGTCTTCTTTCAGACTCAGAGCACAAAGGCTTCATGACTTCAGCCTTCTTCCCTACTTGGAGTTTCTGATTCATGGAGACACCTATCTTATTTCTAAGCCTAGAAATATATTTCTGGTTTTCTTTTCACTTTGTGGTGGGAGCAAAGAATATATGACAAAGCAGAAATTTACGGCATTATTTTTACTAAAAAATCTTACCATAGAGTCCCATTTTTTCTTTTAACAAAAAATTAAAAATGGCATTTAACAGGATTATTATTTCCTCATTAGGTAGCCCACATAATAAAAACTATGTTCAAATTGAAGAATATTTCCTGTTCCTTAATTCCATTGGAACCATCATGACAGTTCATAAATAGGAAGGCTCTTAAAGTTCTGGATGTGACTATCTTAGAAGATGAAAAAACAAAAGCAAATTCAGAGTAGGTGCTGTTTCAAGAAAGCAGACGTAGGCTTGTACTTGTTAATATCTGTTAATTGCTGAGGTGATTTCTTCCTGTGATTGCTCTGTTTTTAGGAACTAAAAGGAAAGCTCAGTATCCTTTGCTTCTGATGCGACCAACCTAAGGACATGTGTCTTCTGACATGATCCTCCTGATGGAGACAAACCTGGCCTTAGCCCCCACTTCTGATGTCAGGAGTAGGGAAGAGGGAATCATCCAGGTCCCAGGCCAGAGCTCTTGTCTGAGGCTTAGATAACAGCTTGGGACCTGACCTAATGGTTCAGCTGTATCCAAGCAGGCCACTGAGTTGAGCTGCCAGCAGCAGCCACCTGCGGCCCAGGAAGGATGTTTAGCATCACATCTACTAACTTAGTTCAAGTCTTCATCATTTCTTTTGTAGGAGAACAAGGTTTGCCATCACAAAACGTGTCTCTTTGGCACGAGGCTTTTTTAAGAAACAGAAGAATCAGGAAGAAACTTTGATCTTCCCCCTAACTGCATAAAAGAACTTAGATAGAGGACCTGTTCCTGGACTAGATTATCACCAGAGGGACTGGCAAAGAATATGGGCTGGAAGTGGTGAGGGAAACTCAGCAGGGCTTGGAGATCAGAGTCCTCTCTGCATCCTGTGGTCTCTTCAGGGCCCAGCAAACATTTGTTTATCAAACATCTGCTTTTCCATCTTCATGTACATTGCCTTCCTCCTCTTTTGTGGTCTCAAATCACTACCCCCAGCAACTTTTGTCTTTGGCTGAAGATGGTTTCTAAGGTAAAGGTTTTGGCCATTTCTGAGAATTCTTGCCTTCCTGGGTCTCTCCCATCTACACAATTGATTACATTTCAGTTTGGTTTTCCTTTGTTCATCTGTCTCACATCAATTTAATTCTTAGACCAGCCTGAAAAGCCTAGAAGGTTAAGTAAGAATTTCTTCCTCTCCAACACTTTCCTGGACTATTTAAACAACTTTCTAAATTATTCTTCCTGCCTCCAACCTCGCCTTAATTTTTCTTATCTCTGTTTAAAGGTTTTAAGTTTTCTGGCTACTTGATATTCTCACTTTTCTCAGTCTCTGTTTTAAATCTGTCACCTCCACCTCACTGATTTTTCCCCATCTGATCTTTTCTGTTTCTCCTTTGCTCTCAGCCTCTTGAGAAATTTTCTATTTAATGTCATTGGTATTAATTATATTTAGTGATCTTATACTGGATGTTACACACTATGTTAAGGAATTTATTTAAATTTTTTTTAATATAAAAAATTTGCATTATTTAATAGTATCCACCACCAAATCAGTAATCAACAGCCCACAAGCCAAATCTGGCCTGCCACATGTTTTTGTATGATTTCTGAGCAAGGAATGCTATTTACAGTTTAAAATGGTTGACAAAACCCAACAGAAGAATACTATTTCATGACACATGAAAATTATGTGAAATTCAAATTTTGGTGTTTTTAAATAAAGTTGCCTTAGAACACAGCCATGTTTATTTGTTTACGTATTATCTATGGCTGCTTTTCTGCTAACATAGTGGAGTTGAATCACTGTAACACAGACCATATGGTCCACAAAACATAAAATATTTATTACCTAGGCCTTTACAGGAAAAGTTGGCTAACCAGTGGAATAGATTATAAATTAGAAAACTAGGAGAATGGAATAATCTGCCAAAGTCTACATTATGGTTCCCAGATTTCTCTGACTCTAAAGTTCATGTTTTGATCCACTATTCAAAATATCTGTGTGATAATTTGTCCATTCCAAGGCAAGATTCAGACCGTGTGCCTTGCAGCTCTGTTACAAGAAGGAGGTTTCCCCCAATCAAATTGCATTGTCATTCCTTTGTATAAGACCTGTCTTCATTCCTCGTGGTTTAAAGGTTAAGGTCTAAACACTTTTGTAAAGTATTCAAGGTTATTCCCAATATTTCTAGTGACCTTTCTCTTCATTTTCTGGAATCACAGATGCTTGCCATCTTCACTCTTGCAGTTCACAGGTGTGCCCTGCTACGCACCTATGCCTGCATTTTAAAAAATCTATGGTTCACTTTAAGTCTGATTGTAACACTTTCCATAGTTTATCCATTTGGCAAATTTTCACTAAATTTTTCATCATTGTTTCTTCTGAGGTGCCTTCCCAATGCTTCCTAATAAGGCTGGGTAGTCTCTTACATAATTCTTCTACAGCACTTATCATATATTTGTAATGTTTTATTTATCTTTTCCACTATTGTATACCATCTTTGAGAGTGGGTATTTTATTTATTTCTCTGCCACCTAAGATGTGGCATAGAGAATATAGACAATATATAAAGTAAAAACTCAGACATTATTTTTATTTATCATGGCTGAATTTGTATGCTTTGTGTATGTTCTGCAGTCGTGTCTCTAGGACTTTACAAACACAGGAGAAAGCAGTGTGTGAACGGGATTTCCCAACTTTCTAAGAAGCTGTTTTCATGTATTATTTTATCTCCTGAGAAACTACTCCTTCTTTCTAATGTGCCCATGAAATGCTGAAGGTTCTCAAACAGTTAAATATTAATCAGATGTCAGAGCCTAAGGGTTATGAAACTCTTGAACTAGCCAAATGACTTGTTTGTGCTGAATTTATTCTTTGCTATGTTCCTCAGCTTTCTCTGAGAGTGCCAGACTCAGAACAACTGTAGAGAAATATCAAAGGACTGCCCTAGGGCCAATTGCTTTGTCATTGCTTATTTCATGAAGACAAAGATCTAACACACAATAAATGACTGCAACAAATGTACCCTTTTATTCTCAACTTGTCAGCTATGGGAGCAGATCCTACAAATGTTTTGTAAACTTTTAAGAAATCTTCCCCTTAGAAAAATAAAGGTGGGGAAAATACATCATTAGCTGATAAATAATGGTAATTTTAGAGCTCAAAAGTAATCTTAGTTGTCCTGTATTTTAATCCTCTCTTTTTTAACAGAAGAAGCTGAAATCCAAATATCACTAATGTCCCAGAAATATTTGTACCAAAAAACCCAGTTCCTATAGCCTCAAACTATTATTGCTTTCAAAACTGGGCTGGTGTAATTAAGTATTTGAAAATGGAATAGAAGGTGAGAGACAATAAACCATCATTAATTAATTTTTACTCTTTAGATATTAATGCAAGTTTCCTCTTTCACTTAAGGGTGTAGAAAATTGCAATTCAATATTATCTCTCGACATCTAACAGTGAGAAGAAAAAGCCAAATAACGCATGAGACATCATTTTTCTTGAGTTTATCAGAGAGATGAGATTGCAAGGCAACCAAATGAACTAAATTCCGAAAATGAGCCCCTCTGGGACACCAGAGGGGGCACTGAAACTCTTTTACCTTTAGTAGGGCATGGCAGAAAGAAGGCGCACCATTAAGGCAGGAGAGAAGAAAGGAACTAACATTTTCCTGATTCATGCAGGCAGTGTGTGTGCATTTATGCTCAGTCATGTCTGACTCTGTGACCCTACGGACCATAGCCTGCCAGCCTCTTCTGTCCATGGAATTCTTCAGGCAAGAACATTGGAGTGGGTTGCCATTTCCTACTCCAGGGGATCTTCCCAACCCATGGATGGTTTATTGCTCTTGCAATTCCGACACTGGCAGGTAGATTCTTTCCCACTAGCATTTTCCGGGAAGTCCCTCCCATACATAGAGAAGATGGCTACATTCCTTGAGATACTTTATTTTCTTTTATTAACAATTGGCTGTTCCTACTATCTCCCCTTTGTTGCAAAACTCCTATATATCCTAGCTCCCCACTTGCCTCCTCGGAGCAGTTTTCTCAGGGTTACTTGAGATGCTGCCTCCGGAGCTTGACGTTCTCAGTATGTCCCCTGAACAAAACTTAACTCTCAACTTTTAGGTTGTGCATATTTTTTTAAGTTGACATGCTAAAACAACAATATTCTGAATGTAATTGGTTAAGTAAACTATGTTATTAAAATTTATTTTACCTTTTCAGAAAATTTCTTAATGTGTCTAGCAGAAATTTTAAAATTACATATGTGATAATTGGCTAGTGCTAGTCTAAACACTCCAATTAAAAGACAGAGATTTTCAGATTGGGGGAAAAAGCAGATCCAACTGTATGCTGCTTATAAGAAACCTATTTACCTATAAAGATGTAAGTAGGTTAAAGTATAAAGATGAAACAAGTATACTATGAAAATACTTAAAGAAAACTAAATGTCTATATTAATATCAGACAAAATAGACTTCGACACAAATCATTTGATCAGGGATAAAGGGGGACATTGCATACAGATAAGAAGGGTCAACCCATCAAGAAGACATGGTAATTCTAAAAGTATTTGCACCTAATAACATAACAACAGAGCTTGAAAATAGATAATGCATAAATTAAAAGAAGTGAAAGGCAAAATAAACAGATCCACATTCTCTGTCAATCACTGTTAGAACAAGTTGAAAGCAAATCATTAAGGATATAGAAGACTTGAACAACCAACTTGACCTAAACTGACGTTTATTAAAACATCACTCAACCAGTGCTCACAGAATGCATGACAAGATAGGCCTTTTGATTGAATTTGCGTAAGTGAAGAGGAACTAAAGAGCCTCTTGATGAGGGTGAAAGAGGAGAGTGAAAAAGCTGGCTTAAAACACGACATTCAAAAAAACTAAGATCATGGCATCTGGTCCCATCACTTCATGGCAAATAGATGGGGAAAAAGTGGAAACTGACAGATTTTGTTTTCTTGGGCTCCAAAATCACTGCAGACAGTGACCACAGCCACAAAATCAAAAGACGCTTGCTCCTTGGAAGAAAAGCTACTACATACAAACTTAGACAAAAAGCAGAGACATCATTTTGCTGACAAAAGTCCATATAGTCAAAGCTATGGTTTTTCCAATAGTCATAAAAGGATATGATGGTTGGATTATAAAGAAGGCTAAGCACCGAAGAACTGATGCCTTCAAACTATGGAGCTGGAGAAAATTCTTGAGAATCCCTTGGACTGCAAGGTGATCAAACCAGTCAGTCCTAAAGGAAATCAACCCTGAATATTCATTGGAAGGACTGACGCTGAAGCTGAAGTTCCAGTTTTGGCCACTTGATGCAAAGAGCTGATTCACTGAAAAAGATCTCGATGCTGGGAAAAGACCCTGATGCTGAGGGCAGTAGGAAAAGGGGAAACAGAGGATGAGATAGTTGGATGGCATCAGTGACTCAGTGGACATGAGTTTGAGCAAACTCCAGGAGATAGTGAAGGACAGGGAAGCTGGCATGGTGCAGTTCACAGGGTCTCAAAGAGTCAGACATGACTCAGTGACTGAACAGCAACAACGGTCTCTGACAACAGCCTTTACTTAGATCAACAATAAGTTCTCTGCAAAATTGCCCAGTTTTTGGATAGTCAACAACACACCCCCAGCCCACATATCAAAGAATAGCATCACAAAAGAAAACAGAAGATACTTGGAATAGAACTTACTTCATGTGCTAAAATATCAACAAGATATTTCAGAAGCCTTTCACCATTTCCTTACTTAAATTTCTTTGTGAACCATTAACTAAAAGCTGACTTTTCCAGCTTTGTCTAATCCAGAGTGGCTGAGCTCATGTTAATGAGTGTCAGGCCAGCAAAAGTCACTACAGCTTTATTTTTCTCTTTGTCTTAGCCGTTTTTTCCCCTGGCTCTTTTTCCTGTTACTTGCTTAACTAAATTGAATTAATATTTATCGATCACCAATTAAGCATAAGGGTTATGCTAGATGTTCCTTTGACATTATGAAGATGAGTAAAGCAGAGGGTTTCTGATTTCAAGGAGATATATTAGAGGCATTATGTACCTAGATCTGCTGCCTGGCTCTATTAGCTCCTAAGTCACTATTTCTGAAGCTTAAGATAATATTTCACCAGGCAAGTCCATTCTTTGATTCAGTGAGGTTATATATTTGTTCATTATATCTTTAAACCTTGAAGGTCTTGGGTCTGTGCCGTTTCTAATTTTTAGAACTCAGTACTGTTCCTGGTATTCTGCCAAGGGAAACTTTAATTAATTTTTGACAGACATGTTAGAAATGGGTTCTCTAGCTTGATTCTGCATTCTTGCTTCTTGGTGTTTCTCTTTCTTTTTACCCCAGTGTAAATATCACTATGTCCTTTTCCTTAACTGTGGCCAGAAAGATCACTATCAGATGCCAATTAAAAGGTTGTAGTCACTGGAAAATTTGCACTGGGGAACAATGAACAGAAGGAACTTTGCTTAGACATTACATTGCTTAAGTGATAAACTCCACCATCTTATAGATAACGGTTGGTGATGGACAGGGAGGCCTGGCGTGCTGCAGTCCATGGGGTCGCAAACAGTGACTGAACTGATAGGTAAGTTTTCATCTATACCTCAGCTTATGGGGCTTCTCTGTAGCTCTGCGGTAAAGAATCCGCCTGTCAACGCAGGAGACTCAGGCTCCATCCTTGGGTTGGGAAGATCCCCGAGAGGAGGAAATGGCAAGCCACTCCAGTATTCTTGCCCGGAAAATCCCAGGGACAGAGGAGCCTGGTGGGCTACAGTCCACAACACAACTTAGCGACTAAATAACAACCTCAACTTAGACGGTAGAATTGAATTTTACTTTGAGATTAGGTTTTAAAGCCAGAGAGTAAAGCGAAAATCATATACAGATAAAACCACTTCCAAAAACTTCTAACATCAGCATGACCTCTTAAGGCAGGCACTACTAAAGGTTAAGATGTCAATGACATTTTTTTTTTCTCAGCTTTTCTCTTGGGCACTGGAAATATAGGCTATTTTCGGGCTGAGGTGGGAAAAAGCAACTAATAAATGATATCTTTTATTCTTTCTCAGCTAAAAATGTGTAATTGGAATTTGAGCCAGTTAAATATGAGTATAAATTCTTTACTTCAAAAAGCAAGTTGCTTAACATAAGAATATATGTTCTAGGGGAAAAAAACTTAATTGTGATCATACTATTAAATTATATAATAGCCAATTATATGGTCCAATCATGAATCTAAAATGGCCATTCAATCTCAAAATACACTATTGAGGTTGACTTTTTTGTTTAAAACACATTTATTTAAACAGAAGTTTACAATAAAATGTGATCAACTTCTGTGAGAAACTATATGCAAAGTGAAGTAGAACTTTGAACCTTGTCACTTGATTTGAAGGCTGTTGATCTTGCTGTTCTGGACTGACTCTGTGAGAACAGCAAGGGAATACACCCAACAAAGAAACACAGAGGATCATATTACATATGATGCTTACTTGTTAACACAGTGATTGATCTGGACGGCTTGGTAACCACATTTCCATTTACCACTACCAGAGTGATTATATAATATAGACCATGATAATTGGCCTTAAAGATAACGGGAGGAGGCAAAGTACTGTTGAATTCCTCAAATTCGAAGAAGTAATTTTTTGATTCACCAGTTATCTTCACAACATACACAGATGATGGACTCATGACATCTGAAGCTTCTAAAGAGACAGCGATGCTATTATCATCTCGGACAGTTACATGGAATGTGGTAGCATCCTGTTTAAGAAAATAGAGAAACAGAAAGTGAAGGTCAAGTTTCAGATTATATTCATTAAAATTATACTGAGATAATTTCCCCAAAACTAATGTTGTGACAAGCATTGCTTCCTGAAATAAGGTTACACAGGTATTTTATATATATGTACATAAAAGTATATGTGGAAAATCAAAAAGAGGAATATTAGCCCTATTGTGGCTATTGATCTTCTTAGGCTTTTTTACTTTTAGCATTCTTCTGGATTGAAAAGCTACCTCCCATTCACGGATTGTGCCAAGCAGTAAACACAAAATAAAAACATCAAGGAACTGTGTAAAAAGAAATGAATGAAAATCATCTTGGCACTCAACTTTCAGAGAAGTCCGTGGTTTCACCTTTGTTGAAAAAGCTATCTGGTTTGAAAAAGCTATCTGGTTTGAAGAAGCACCGTTTTACTTGGGAGGGAGCAGTCCTGCTGTAGTCCTAGGAAAATTCTAGAAGAATGTTTCAACGCAGTTATTTTCTCCTTGACATCTCACCTGCCAGTTCTGACAACTAAAAAAAAAATCAGGGCTGAGAAACCTTATAATCCTTCTCTTTAAATTTTAGCTGGTCCTCATTAAAAGAAACCATGATGCTCTTTGAAGAAGGGACCGGACTGAAAAGCTGTGGGCATTGATAGAAAAGTCAGCAGTTAATGCACTGAAAACTTTGCTCCAAGTCCCCTGGTAAATGTTTATGTACAGTATTTGAAAACTCATTTGTGTAGTTGGTTTAAATATTCCTTCCTGATTCTTTCCCACACTCCACAGGCAGACTGGGACTTCCGTTCTCTGATCTTGACAAGACTCCTGAACTTTGTAACATTTGCTGTTCTGTTTCACTTTTCCTTCTGGGTGTGTGTGATGTCCCAGACAAATTACTTCATTGCTCTGAGCCTCAGGTTTTTCTTCCATGAAAGTGGGACAGAAAAATTGCTGAAACTTGTCAAGGACTTAAAAGCATCCAGGTACCAAGGTAGGCAAGCTATAAACATACTCATCACATTTAAAATTCTGAGGGATCTCAGGAGACAGATATTATTAACTTATAAAGACTATCTGGCCATTAAGAGAAGTTTAATTCTATGTTAACATTTAGTAGACTTAATAGTGTTCATACCATCCCTACCACACTAGTTTGTAAGTCCTCTAGGGCAGAGATTGCATCTTATTTCTAGCTGTGTCTCCAGCTCTACGACCAGTATATGGCATATGCCAAATGGTTTGTGACCTGAATAGGCCTGGGAAAATTTCTTTAATATGGGATTGCCAGTAAAGATTTAATTTATTTTTAAAATATATTTATTTTATGTTAGTGAAATGGACTCCAAACAATAAATACAATGTCACTTGCGTGTCTGTGTGTTAAGTCACTTTAGTCATGTCCGACTCTTTGTGATGATATGGACTATAGCCCATCAGGCTCCACAGTCCATGGGATTCTCCAGGCAAGAATACTGGAATGGGTTGCCATGTCCTCCTCCAGGGCATCTTCCCGACCCAGGGGTCAAATCCAGGTCTCTTATGTCTCCTGTATTGGCAGGCAGGTTCTTTACCACTAGCACCACCTGGGAAGCCCCCAGATTTGCTTTTAAAAAGATATTTGTCACAGCCTGTAGCACGTGGGATTTTAGTTCTGTAATGAAGGATGGAATCCACGCTCCCTGCAACAGAAGCATGGAGTTGTAACCACTGGACCACCAGGAAAGTCCCAGATCCCTTTGTTCACATTTGTCTCTCATCCTCTGATACATGTGCAGATTTTTAAAACTGAGTTCTGTACTTTTGGGATCAAATCTAAAACATGACCCATTCTCCATTGCCAGTGGTCAGGTGGAACATGAGGCTAATGAAAGCACTGAATATCCAATAGACCTGAAATCTGGTTTTTATACACTATTGATTACAGAAGCTGATTCACTAATTCAGAAAACAATAAGTTTACAGACACGGAATATGCAATTCCTAAGAATTCTTTGCTATATGTTTTAACAGCCAGTAAACTGGAAGTGTTTGTGATAACGAAAAGAAGAATAAATAAACTCAATTTTGTAGCGTGTTGAGGAAATATGTGTCTCATGTGTCATGATGCTTTGTAGACAGTTACAGCTTCCAGGGAAAGGAACTAATCTTCCAAATGCTAACAACAGCTTTGAGGATGATTGTATCAGCCATGAAAATAAGCATTGGCCCATGTGCTCCCAGGTTGCCAAAAATAAATCAGGGTGGGCTAATCAGATTCAGTCAGTGGAACTAATGAGAAGAAGGCAGCAGGCCAAGTGCGATCTAGGCAGTGAGCCTAAAAGAAATGTCATCTATGCTATTTCTTTCTTCTCTGTCCTCTTTGCTCCAGCTTTTCCTGGAATCTATATTCAGGAGAAAATTCTGAATGTATGCTGCAGGCATGCTATCCTTGCTGAGAAGCAGGGCCAGAAAGAAGTGTTAGAAATAATCAAAATGGATCTGGTGCACTTAGGCAAAGCCAATGCTGATTTATTTGGTGGCTAGAAAGATATTTAAAACTTTTTTTTTTTCCTTCTGAGACTGGTAATGCTATTGCTTGACTCTACAGTAAAAATATTTTCACTGAAGTGTCCTTTGCAGAACAAAGTTTAATATAGGAATTTCTCTGGTCCAGCACCCTCATTTCACACTTGAGAGAACAGTGGTGCAAACGTCAGGCAGATAGTCGATGTCAGAACAAGGTCTGGGATCCACACATTCTGGTGCCCCTTGGTATTCCTCTTTTCCTGAGATAGAGGTACCTGGCTTGAGGCAGCAAAAAGGGGCCTGGGGGCTTGGCTTCAGCAAGGAAGGGGGGCCCAGGAGCCTGCTACCTGTTCCATAGCCAGTCTTGGGAGAGAAAAGCTACTGGAAATAGAGTGGGCAGCACTAAAGAGGAGAAAAACAATGGGGGATGAATCCCCTGGGATATGGGATAAGGATGTGACCTGGCCACAGGTCTGGACCCATCAGAAGTCCAAGAATCTCTTCTAGCATCCTTGACAAAAGTAGCAAGTGTGGTGCATTGACCCATCTCTCTGTCCCTTGATCTGGACGAAGCTTTGCACTGAGCATTATTATATATATTAAAAAGCTGAGACATTACTTTGCCAACAAAGGCCCATCTAGTCAAAGCTATGGTTTTTCCAGTAGTCATGTATGGATGTGAGAGTTGGACCATAAAGAAAGCTGAGCACCGAAGAACTGATACTTTTGAACTGTGGTGTTGGAGAAGACTCTTGAGAGTCCCTTGGACTGCAAGGAGATCCAACCAGTCCATCCAAAAGGAAATCAGTCCTGANTAAGTCTGACAACCCTAAATTGAGGTATCCCTAAGTGTCATCAAGCTCAGGACCAGAAAGAGAAACTTGCACAGCACCATCTCTTTACATGCTTTATCCTTGGTTGCTCATTAAGGTCAAACACAATGTTTCTTTTACTCATGAGATAATATTAACACACAACTAGACTACACTGCTAAAAATGGATGAGACAACATGCTAGCAAAAGAATATAAGTTTTAAAATTCAAATGGCAGCCTAGATTAAAACAACACACTTCAAAACTGTGGAACCTGAAACTCAGTGGCTTAAAAACAAAAATAATTTATTCTCATGAATCTGCAGCTTGACTGGGTTCAAGTGCTCTAGGCTGGGCTGAGTTGATGACTCTCTTCCTGACTGTAGTTCTGTGAGTTGCCTGGTAAGATTTCACTCCAGGTCACACATCCTCCTTGAATAAACCTTATAAATAAATAGGGCAATAAAGACTATAGAACATAAAAATCAATATATAATGATTTGGTCAGAAGTCACTAAATTTCCCTATAATTTACCCCAAACCAGAGATGTTTATATGGAAATTTTTTTTAAATTAAGGAACACAGGTTCATGATTACTACAGAACATGAATATTTATTTACTTATTTATTTTTAGTTCTACCACTTTATTGCTACCAACCCATCTCCCTCCACCCTCACGCACACATGCTCAGTCATGTAACCCCAGGGACTGCAGCCCACCAGGCTCCTCTGTCCATGGACTTTTCCAGGCAAGAATACTGGAGTGGGTTGCCATTTCCTTCTCCAATGTACACTTTAAATATATACAATTTGTATCTGTTAATTACACCTCAATAAAGATGGTAAAAATAACCACCCATGACTGACTAAGCAAAATAGAGACATCTACTTTATAATTATTATTCCATTCCATTAAAGAGGAAAATGCAAGCTTCAAAAAATTTTAAAGTTGTAATTAACATCATTGACTAAAATTTTCCCAATAAGTTACCAAAAAAAAAAAAAAAAGGAATATCTTGGAAAGTTCCTGATGGCATTCTCTTGCATGATATAAACTTTTCATTCACTGGCTGTTCTATTTTTTTCTGTTTCAGCATGTCTTTCAAATTAATGAAGAAAATAAAGGTCATTCACACAAAGACCAGGAGATAAAAAAAAAAAAAACTCCAGGATATCATTCCACCACCACATCAAATTCAAAATGTCACATTATAGATAACTTATTGACTGCTTGCATTTTAAAGACCATATAATGCAGATATCCCTACTGATGGATTCATGAAATTTGACATTGTTTTCTAAGTTTTATGAATATGTATAAAATTTTGGGGTTTGTAAAAAAGGTTGTGTTTTAGTTATGTCTTGAACCATTCAATGATCTTTAAACTATAGAGGTTCTGTAAAGAGTCACTTGACGAACTTCAAAACCCAGCCAAATTCAGCAATTATGTTCCCTGGATGTTTTAATCACAGATCCCTGGAGAAACAGCATTTATTAATTCAACGACAAACATGAGCTAACTGCCAACGTGACGTCAGGCATAGTGCTAGAGTGCTAGGTGTTAGTGAAAGAGAAGTGTGTAAGACAGGATACTTAAACTCCAGAAGCTCAGACTCCAGGGAGATGTGCATAGTTATAACCCAGCTTAAAATCATTAGTTAAAAACTTTGTAA